ACTCAAGTTGCGTAAACAGCAGGTGCGGCTCAGGTCGAAGCAGGACTTCTTTACTTGTAGAGTGGAATGCGTCAAACGACGACGTAGTGGCTGCCCCTTCAGTGACTATTTCAAAGAAGAAACTAGACGCTTTAATGCACAGGCAAAAAAGGGGAGTTATGTTGACGTAAGAGACTAGGCAGTAAGCAACGAGGATATGCTTAGAAAGATAACTCACAAAAATGTAAAAATATTTAACTTTAAGAGGAGTAGGCCTATCCTAAAGTTAAGGAACGCTCAACCTCGACACATTGTATCCAAATGGGTGTTACCGCGTCTTGATACTACTAAACTCTCTTGATACCTTGATCCCACCAAATTGATCGGCCACAGCTAACCATTGTTTTGAAACGACTGTTTCAATCTCAGCTCATCCCATGAACTCGGCATATAATTATCTCATACATTAAAAAAACAGAAGATCCAGACACCGATACTAAGGCCGAAAAAGTCATGAATCTGACATAAGTCCGGCACGATATCCGGCAACACTGGAGGATGGGACTGGAGCCATCACGCTAAGCCTAAATGAACGAAAGTTAATTTCATCTTTTAAATGGCGAAATGGTGCACTGCAAGCAACAAAAAGGACACTTATCCTCACCTACGAGTATCTTTCGTTTGGTTAGTCTCATTCGGGGGGGGGGGACCGTAATGAAACTTACGTTTTCAAAAAGCGAGATTCAGTGATCTCCACAACTTAGGGGAGATGGAGCGTAAAATTTGCTGGAGTGATTCTTTGTTGAGAGAGGAAGAAGCATGCCAAATTTCGTTCCTGTTGATTCTCTCAGAGAGAAATACGAGGAGGTTGAATTTTGTTGCGGCAAGGGGTTGAAGAAAGGTGATAGGCGCCCTGTTGATGTGGACTTCCATTTTCTTAAACCCAGGGAAAACCAGGCTCACGAAGGGAAGAAAAAAATAAAAATAAAAAAAGCCTCTTGTCTGGGGAACCGTGGGTTGAATGCTTGCTCATCCTCAACGTCGAGCATCCTCCTCCGTCGATCTCGTAGGGAAAAAAGAGCTCTGTGAAAGGGCAGGGCGCAAGAGTGGAGGTATAGAGACAAATTTTATTCTGCACAGACTTACAAGCTTCACACTAACACACGAAGGACAAAATTTTCTTATTATGAAATCTTCGAAAGTTCATTCGGATCGTTTCACAGAAATCAGGGGCTGGGGTCTCTGTGTTGCAGTGAGACCAACTTGCCTTACGTCCTCTTTCGCGCTTCACAAGTCGCTCTCTCGAATTGTGTCTAATGTCTAAGAAAAAAAGAGAGATAGAATTAAGGATGCATGAGGAAGGAATGAAGAACTGGAAGCATACCACTTTTTCAGATTTGTAGAAGACTGCCTCGGGATAGCCGTGATAAGCATCGATGTCGGGGAGATTCCACACCACCTCCCGAACGATAAAGTTCGCCATCTGCAATTGACACTTTCGAACTAATGCAAAAACCCTTAAGACGGGCTCTGAAAACATTCGCAAACCTTGATGTTCCGTTCGACGATGAGATGAACGTCGAAATCGTCCTCATCCTCGCCGAACGGGTTGATGAGCATCTCCGCCACCTCCAGCCAGCCCATGAAGAACACCAACTGTTGGCACAGAGCAAGAAATGGAGTAAAAGGAATGGATCAAGAATGAGTAAATGAAGAAGATCGAGTGAAGAGACCTGCATGACCGGAAAAATCGGGAAATACATTTCCAACCTGTCCTGTTCTATGAACTGGCTCGCCATCAGAGATAGGAACCACCACGTGTAACATGCTATAGTCACCACCTAAATATCCAGAAACAGTTTTACCTCTTAGATGTAGTAGCAATGCCATCAAAATCCCATATTTTGACGACTATTTTCAATCGGACTGGAAGCCGTGGGGCAAAGTGCGAGAAACTGTTATGAATGAAAAACTAGGAAGAAAATGTGGAATAACATTTGATAATTTTATGGAGTTGCTCGTTTGATGAAATCTTTGTGAAAAAGTGCCAAGTAAAGTCCCCAGATGTTCAATAACTGAAATAATGGGTAACTATCTGCAATAGGTGAGAACCACTTCGAACTAATAGTAATAGGACTTTCGCGCAATAAAATATGCTTCAATTCAATTTTTTGTTTTTGCCTATGGACATTGACGATGCATAAGTAGTAGCAATCGAGTCAGACCTGGGTGTAGACGAGGGGAATATTGACATTATCGATGTCCCGGCACTGTCCGAGTCGAGTTCGGACGCCACGGATCTCCGAGATGATGCTCTGAAGCCCCAGGTTCGTGTCAACAAGCCCCTTCCTCCTGGCGTCCTCCGCCAAGCGACACGCCCACACCATCGGTATCCAATAGGGTGGCTTCTCGCTCCCGTAGAGACGGCCTAAGTTCTCCAGGATCTCCTTCTCTTTCTCCGTCAGCATGCGCGGGATGTAGCCCGGTTCGTCGCTGCGGCAACGAGTGCCAGGATGCGATGCCTTTCCTTCTGCAGATCTGCAGGAGGGGCATTGCTCGTCGAGGAGGTCCTCCAGTTCCCCGAAGTGCTTCTCCGTTCGAGAGCTCAGTGTTTGCATGCAGATGATGATCCCCAGGTGCATGTAACGCATTATCGTCAAACGGTACTTCAGCGCCATCTCCGACTGCAAGAGGAGTCCATATCATTTCATAAGTGAAAATTTTTATGACCTGGAAAAAGTGCTATTTCCTGGTATTAAAATCGCCATTATTATACTTATTATATCGAAATACGTGCAGACAGACAGACATAGCGTAGCAGGAAACGAAAGTGAAGCAGTGCATTGAACAGTTCATCGATGGGAGTGTCTGAAGTCAGTGTCCTTGCCGTTCCTTTACCAGTACGAAAAATTCCTAATTTTGTTTTCCTCTATCTGGATGTCTGGGTGTATTTCACCAAATGGTTTTGCCCCAGCTACTACAGTCGTTCCTCTTTCGGACACTTATACTAGACATGTGGATTGGATCTCAATGAAGAAAGGAGTTGCTTGTGGCTCGTGGATATCTCTTCCAGAATAAGGCAAGACTTCGACTTTACTTTCAGGAGCTTCATTGCTTTTCGATTTCAGATTTGTCACCAAAGAATGGGTTTGCTTAGAGTCAAATGCGGATGGCATCAGTTTGATGAAAGATTCAGATGTGAGGGTACAAAATTCCAATAATTTGGCTCCAAGGTGTGACAGGAGATTAGGTTTTATACAAAATTGGCTCGATTTGATTTGAAATTTGTAGGATTCGACTCAACTCGAAATTATGAAATTCCATAAGGTTCGAAAATATAAAACCATAATTTCGATTCTGGTTAGATCCTTTAGGTTCACGATTCATTTTCCGAAAGATTCTACCGTGATTCCCAATTTGCATCAAAATTACCTGGAAATATGTTATCAGATTCTGAATTTGTAGGTAATATGGATACGATTGAAATTGCAGAAAAGTCTGGTTCGAGTGTCCTTGGGAGAAAAATGACCAAAGAAGTTGTGGGAATTTCAACTGAAAGTCAAGGTGAAGCACTTCTTATGAAACACACTTGGACTAATACATTGTCCAAGTAAGGCGGCAGTTAAGGCAAGGTTCTCTCCTGGTCCCAGGAACAATTTCAAGTCTTGGTACGTCACAGCAACGCGATGAAATCACGAGAAGAAATCCCCCTTCAAGACTTTCGGGAAGTTCTCCAGAACGACTCACATCGCCGGACCGAAGATGCGTGGCGACGATGGTGGCCGGGTCGAGCGACCATGGGATCGCCTTCCACAGCTCCCACCACCGCCCTGCCACGATGCTCACGTAGAAGCCCAGGAGAAAGACCAGAACCCTGATCCCGTCGCAGCTGCGGAAGTAGAGCACTACTTCCTCGAAGTTCCTTCGAGAGGTGGAAAAAAGGAGCCTGATTGAAATCCTGGAATCCGTATCGATCGCTGAAGGTTGCAAGCATCGTTATGTCATCTGTACACACTTTTAAAGAAGATTAAAGAAAAGCATGCTCGCACACCACCTATGTATGGGGGAGCGTGCGGCTCGCGCCAATCATGTGACGCCAAACCAAAATGTCGCAAGTAAATTTTGATGCGAGTAGATTCAATTTTGCTTTCACCCTTTCCCATGTGGTACAGCACATTGAATAGACGTTGAATATACGTTGAATATACGTAGATATATAGACCTGAAAACGTTGAGTAAACGTTGATAGTATAAGTAGACTCCGCGTGGAAATGGCAATATCATCTCCGTGGATTAAACGAAGATTCCACAACGTTTTTTCTCAGGCTTTTTGGATTGACTCCTTCCCTCGAAGAGATTCTCAAGCAAAACCAAAAAATTCTCCGACACAAGAGATTTATTTATTTAGCCATTTTAGACAATTGCTCCTCATATTAATATTTCCAGAGGTCAACATGAACCTCAACCAAAGAAACCATATTTTGCTCTTAGAGCAGGATTCATCATATGATCACTCATATAGCTCCCCACAGTCACTTTGAACTGCAATACTAAGAAAACAGGGTTAGTTAACTCCTTTGGCGTCGGAGGAGGTGACGCCTAACCATCCCCACAGGCGGCTAAATCGACCCCCCCCCCTGGATTTGCAAAATAGTCATTGGAGTCAATATTATATACATTGAAGTTGACGCAAGTAAAATATTAGGGCGCCATTCACCAAAGTTTGGCCGCAATGGAATATCAAAGGACGATGTCCAGGTCAGTCTCGAGGTGTAAGTTATTCCAATGTAAGGTTTCCTGGGTTCGAATCAGGTTAATTTAAACTGGTTGTTTTGACATTTATCGCTAAAGAGGATTGTTATCTTATCGCCAAATCGCTTTTAAGTATATATATATATATATATATATGAGTAAAGAACGTAGATATAGAGAGTAGTTGGCCAGTATTACCCGAATGGGCAGTGAAACTGCTCTCATTCAAGGTGTGCCTATAGGCGTGCGGCTGTTGTAGCACAGAGTGACTGCAATACGATCCCGGTGATGACAGTTTACCAGTGCATGGGCTTCTCTCCCATAACTTTTCTTAATTCATCCTAGGGTTTAGCTTATCCAGTTAGTCGGGGTTGGGTCATGTTTTATAGGCCTAATGTGCCGAGGCCAAGGCCTGAAGGTAGCAGAGGCAATCTGGGCATCGTTCCAGTCTGTCAGTGCAGGACACAGTTAACTGAATCCAGGGTAGGGCTTTTCCTTGGGCTACGTTTTTTCAGGCATTGGCTTGTTTCGCAACTAGCCTTCCCCTCCTTTTTCTTTTCCCTCATAGGCTTGAGCCATTCCGAGGCATGCTCTCGCTTTTTTTCCTTTGTAGGCTTGAGTCTACCATACATTTCAGTCGCGAGGCTGATCAAGCTAATCGATCGTTAACTGTGGCACTGACAGACGGACTTAAGCCGGGATTGCCTCTGGGGCATTAGGTATAGTCCAACTGTTTAATTCTATAGGCCGTAGCACCTGGCAGTAGAAACTTTCTAGGTAGGGTTTGTTTAGTCAGACTTGCGGCCTCAACCCCCTGACGACGAAGGCTGCCTGACAAATTACCAGGATGGGATCCTTCGCTGTCAGTTCTCTATTTTAACGTTCTTCAGCTTTGCCCCAGCTCTGCAAGCTATTTTGGCATAGTATGCTTCCAGGATTCAATGGTTTTCTGCCCTCTTCTCCTGGGCTAGTGGCCGGACATTTCCTGCCTGTTGCCGTGGGGTGGCTTTGGCTGGGAGGGACATTGCAGTCTTCTTCTATTCAATCTATATGGGGATATAAGTAAATATATGTATGTATATATTTGGTGATTAAGAAAACGCTCTACTGTTTTCTATGGGAGAAACAGTTTCATAAATGTAACAAAAAAATTTACAATTGATATGCAATCGTTATTTTTGACAGTTACAAGGTGTTTAGTAACTAAATATGCATGCCAGCTTTTTTCAGCACCCCTGTCTAAATTGTGCAATGCCCATTTAGAGGCGAATTAAAGGTGCTAAAGGGTGGTTCATCCCACCTGGTGATGATCTGTGCTTGACCGTCTCAGAATTCAATGAACTTCTTAACTAGCTTTTCAAGGGAATGCTGGATGCAGCTGATACTTGACAGAGAGTTTCATTAGCTTATGAACTTTTTTCACATCTGCAAGATGGCGCTGTATTCCTATTGAGGGTATTGTTGTTGACCGCGTGACCGAGGATTATTTTTAAAAAAGCTCCACTGTTTTCAATGGGAGAAAGTACGATTCGTGTATTCGAGTAAAAAAGATAAGATTCATAATCTCTTGATAGACATATTGGAGGTGTTGAGAAGATTGAGTTTTTCTCAGAAGAATTCTTTGAGCTGTGCATCGTCGTGTTATTAAGTTTACAGGTGAATCATTACACCTTAAATCCGGGTATGCATCCATCATCTCAAATTTCACGGAGAGAAGTTTTCCCAGTTTGGCCTTAAACTGATATTGACTAAATTCATATTTTTCAATTTCGCTTCAAGACCAATTCTTTTGAAAGGGCTCTCGGATACAATTCAAAGTCTAAAGAAATATCTATAGGTTTTTTTCCTTAGAGGGACACTACCCAAGGATTATTTCAGATTTTTGCCAAACTTTGGTCATTGAAAGGGCTCTCAAAACGAAGTCAAACGGCACCAAAACTTGCGACTGAGGAACAGGTTTAGGCTCATAACTGGCTTTCTCAATTTTCAGTGATACATGATTATTATCGTCACGGCCCTATTTTCTTTGACTATAACTTTCCAAGTTTCAGAAGAAAGTCAGATTCAGGTGGTATTTGACAGAGAGATGTTATTGTGTCTATGACCTTTTCGCTCCCTTGCCCAGCACATATTTGTACCTATTGACAGAGGGCGCAGTGATTGCATACACGAAAGTGAAATGTGAAGGAGCACGAGGGCTCTGCTTAGAGAGTTTCTTTGTTGGTAATACCCCTAGTAGCACATAATATTGAAACAACATATTTTCAACGCTGATTCAACATCCAGACGTTGAACCAACGTTGAGTCGATGTTGATTCAATGCTATGTGCTACTAGGGACGTACTAAGAGCACATCAACATGAGACGTTCGCTGAGAGTTTCATCATCTGGGAGTGAAGTGAATGCAAGAAGTACTCCTTTTTTGGAGGCAATTCCTATTCTCCGTCTCTTGCTTTTGCATATGCCACCACAGCGTCACCTGTCAACATGTAGAACAATGTGCTGGGTAAGGGAATGAATGAGTCATGGGCCCATAAACATCTCTACCAAACATCACCTGCATCTGACTTTTCCTTTAAAAGTTATGACCAAAAAAAGTTCAATTGTTAGGTCAAAATACAGCTTTGTTTGGCCATATCTTTTGAATGAACTCTCAGATACATATGATAATTGGCAGAGATTCATAGACCTGAACGAATTTTTCCCAGTGCCTAAAAAATGTCATAGCTAGTAGGAAGGTGGCGCTGCTGTCGACATCATCGCCCTCTATCGGCATGCAGCGCCACCTAGCGGCATAGAAAAAACCTCCTTCACTGATGAACCTCTCTATCAAATATCACCTGAATCTGACTTTCCCTTGGAAAGTTATAGTCAAAGAAAATAGGGCCGTGACTATAATAATCATGTGTCACTGAAAATTGAGAGAGCCAGTTATGAGTCTAAACCTGTTTCTCAGCTGCAAGTTTTTGGTGCCATTTGACTTCGTTTTGAAAGCCCTGTCAATGAGCAAACCCAATCGGCACAACAACGTTGTGTCAACGTTGAAATAAGGTTGATGGCAATATTGCCTCAATGTATATTGAGAAAAGGTTGGCTTTTCAACGTAAAATGTTGCCACCATGTTCCCACAATGTTGAAATGAATCATAGCTCAACGTAGAAAAGTTGATGCTGTGCAACGTTGTGTCAACGTTGAATTGTCAAAGTACGGGCATTATAGTACCTCCTCCCTATTCCAGAGTCTGAATGAGCTTTGATTATCGGATGAAATTGAATATGGACTTGATAACTCCATGGATGGTCCCCAAGTGGTATGATACTAGCAGTACTCTACCGAGCATAAAAATTCCACATAACGGACCCTCAGAGTTTTATTTCCTCTACTGAATCAGAATTAAAATCGAGTACTTACACGACTCAATCCTCTCGATCCAGCAGAGGAAACAACCTCGCGGGCATGGTTGTTATACTCTATCCATCATGGATGAGCCTGAGTAAGGGCGCGTGTCATATGTGGAGATTTAGGAAAATTGAGCGTGTCTCCTCGGACCCACTAGCCAGAAGTACTTTGGGTCTCCTTCTGCCCGATTACCTCCTTAAACATGTCTATCTAGATATTCCTATACCTTCCCCTATGCTGTAAATGGGAAAAGATCGGGTACTGGATGAAAAATGCAGGGTACTGTTTATTTCAAGGCATCAGGGTAAGAATCGCAGAATCGGCGGTTACGTGCCATCTCGCGTCGGTTCCTAGAACCTATTTCCTTTTGATATGATGTGGATGACTCTACGTAAAAACAACATTGAGAATGCGATTTAAAGAAAATTTGCTCCTAATAGCCTCTGAACGACTTCCCTAATTCACGAGTAGTCGCCAAATGCTGAAAATACTGTTAATTATGAATAGCTAGCATTTCATCGATGTTGATTTTTCGTTGAATTCTCAACTTCAACCAAGTCTCAACGTTGCAACCTATTCTCAATGTTGATACAACGTTGTTGTGCCGAATGGGAGACGTAATTCATTACAAACATACCAAATGCAAAAAAGGTCTCAGGAACCCAGAAGTCTTGCTTGACCTCAAGGTCGTGTGCTCTTATGAAGTCCCGCAAAATATGCTGAAAAAGTGGGATTCCTGAGTCCCGCCATACAAAAATGTTAAAATTCCGACTTTTCTATTCTTCAAATTCAATCAAGCCAATCTCAAAAAAGAAATATCGGTTTCGCGTGAATCCCATGCATAGTTGCCTTCACGCAATTCCATGGCACACAAATGTATGCTTTCCTCTCAAGCGGAAACAGATCTCAGTATAAGATCCCAATACCATCCATTTACAAAATGCCAACTTGATACGTTCATGTTAAAATGCTTTTTTGATAGCGACTTGTTTTTTCCTTCAGGAGACAAGATAAAGAAAATGACACCAACGACGCCAAAGGCCTTATAGTCGCGTGCATTGTTCTTTCAACAGTAGAAATGACTCATTTAATAGAAGAAATCCCACTCACGGTCGTCGCGCCCATGCAGAACGCGAAGATGTCCGTGAGCGTCGTGATCGTGATGGACACGCCGGACTGCTTCAGCGCCAGGGCGACCCGCTCCTCCGGCGTCCACGTCCCGCCTGCTGCGATCACGTTCTCTAGGCTCTGTGGAGGAGGAGAGGTCGGAAACGTTCGCGGCGAAGCTCTGCGGAACAACGCCGCGACCGTTTCTGAGACCGCAGGTGAAGCCGACCTGGACGACCACGAGCGTGTCGTCGATCCCGATCCCGAGAATGAGGAACGGCATGATGCTGTGAAGGTCGTAATACGGCAGGCCCAGGTAAAAGCACAGCCCGAACGTGCTCAGGATGGTCAATCCGATTGCCAAAAGGGACTCCAAACCGATAAGAACCTGCAATGGAAATGGCAAAGGACTCCGAACTGATAAATATCTGCAACGGACGCGGCGAATGATCCTCGTGCGCGTGGGCCTGTACGATTTCAACAAATTTGAGGGTCGCTCAATTTATTTTTGCAATGGCATGTTTTCCCCGAGCAGATGAATTCAGCGACATGACACAGTCTTCTGAGACAACTCTTCAAACAATATTACCCTTGGCAAATGCTCCGTGAAGCACGAACTTTATAGGAGCCCGACTCGCCCAACGGACGGCAGCCGAAATAGGACCGTGATAAAGCCTCTATCCCCGCCAGATGAAAGAAAACCGAAACCGAGATCCGCGCGAGTCACTTCGGCCGCTGGAGGAGCGAACTGTGACCGCTCTCTTTCGATTCCCTCCGTGCCTTAACCTTGCAGGAATAGAAGCTCCATCGCGACCCGATTCCATCGCCACTTACGAACAACTTCAGCCAGCAAATAAAAAAGCGTCCTCACCAGAATGTTTGACAAGAGAGTAATGGTACTTGAGAATCTCGGAAGACTGCAACATGTCACCTGATTGCATGATGCAAATTCAATGCAACATGCCAGTTTCCACGTCAAGAGAGGGTTCTATTGACCGTGTTTGCCACCTGGCAATGCATGGTATTGCCTCGAGACAACCTACACAAGCTATTATTTAGCAGGCAGTTAGAGGATTGCATAACAGGTAGTACTTCCTGTTTTCCGTTTGTCATAAAATTTTCAGCAATATATTAATATATTTTCTATTCATGAAATGTAGATTAATTACATCGACTCAATGGAACATGGCAAAGCTAAAAAAAAATTCTCGAGTGGCCAGATCAAGCCCGCATTTCCGAATTACGCCAGGCTCCGGCTTTAAAATCCGACCAGACCGGGCTCACCCTGTGCTGCAGGAGGTTCAGTTTCCCCATAATCAGGGTCACGAAGACGGTGATGGAGATGAATCCCATGGCAAAGAGCGGCATGTTCTTCGCCAGCATCTGCCCCACCGCGTCTCGATAGCTGCGTTACCAAACAGCAATTCGAAGCTTCAAATGATACCATTCAACGCATTCACGACTTCAACCGCCTTTTCCCTCTCTTGGACAGATTTTTTCCTAAAATTTGCTTTTTTGGAGGATGTTTGCATTTCAATGAATTGTACATGAGCCGCATATTAAAATACCTGAAGTATCCTCGTATTAGTGATTCATTTAGAGATACTTTATTGAGTATTTTTACGGGCGTCAACGAACGGCACATATCCAAAGAAACTCGGATTTCGTCACCAATGTGTTAATCAAACCTATTTGCATCTTGTATGAGAGCCTCGACGCCCTTGACACGGTCCCTCAACGAAAACAAGAGGCAAAACGCCGGAAGGAAGACAAAAGCGGACGAAAGGAACACGAGAGCAAAAGAGCGGAAAATGTCAAGGAAGGCTAAAATGAAGGCATTCAGTCACAGACCTTCGCGCTGCCATGGCATACGTCCCGAGTCCTTCAGGCTTGGGAATGTCGTTATGAAACACCAAGTCGATGAATTCCTTCTCCCACGGTTCCGCGATCGGATCCATCTGAAAAGGAAGCGAATGTCGCCATACACGGGTGAGATGCGCCGTTCGACACCGAGAGGAATTCCTACCCGATGTCCCCTGCTTGAAGTGACGTTGGTCCGGTCCTTGAGAATGTAGACGCTCATGATTCCCCTGGCCGAAATTACTCTTCCGTTCCGATCCCTTTCTACCTTGGCTAAGATCACTTCCACGTCTCTTGGAGTCGTTGAACTGGCAAAAAAATGGTCCGGTCCTTGAGAATGTAGACGCTCATGATTCCCCTGGCTGAAATTACTCTTCCGTTCCGATCTCTTTCTACCTTGGCTAAGATCACTTCCACGTCTCTTGGAGTCGTTGAACTGGCAAAAAAATACCTCAAATAATGTTTTTGAGCCGTTTCAAAATCCAGCGAGCGAAAACACGTCGAGTAACTACTCTTTATCGAGTGCCTTCGTGACTTTGTCCAATATCTCCTCTTGTGTGATGTTTTCGAAGTCGTAGTCACGGTCCCATAAGAGCAGAGTGCTGACGTAGACGCACCGATCGTCCAGGAAAGTCTTTTCCTCGCCATTCTCCGCCCCGAACAGCGGGGTCTCGTCCGCGCTGGCTTTCCAGCCGTAATCCCCGTAGTCCTCGTAATCGCTTCCTTCCTTGACCGACTCAATTGCCCTCGTAGGAGATGATGGAGGTTTCTCCGACTCAGTTTGGTCGTGAGCGTCCTTCTTGCGTTCGCTTAGGGGCTGGAATGCCTGTGACGCATTGGATGCGCTTGCACGGTCTGATTCCCTAGGATTTGTCTTTTTCTCGTGCTTCTCGTTTGCGTCTGACGCAGGTGTGGTCTCCATGGGATTGAATGAGAAAGATTTTTCAGCAGGATCTGGATTCAAATATTGGGTTTTACTTTCTTCCGTCGCCGCGACTGCTGTGCGGTGTTCATCAAGTATTCCGGCATGGATTTGCCCCAGCTCACTTTCGACCGGATCTTGAAGTCCCGACTGGATCCCCGCATTTGCGGTCGTTTCTACTGTGCAAATGGAGATGGGTGGCAAAAGGATACGTTTTGAGGTCATGCAAACATAACAGGACTGGAAAATTGTTATGATTCGGTTAAGAATGGGCTTTGGGAACATTCTGCGGTTTTCAGTCCCGACTTGACGCAAAATTTAAATATATTGAACTGGGAAAAAAAAGAATTTCTGGCTAGAACATCGCCCACGTTTTTTGAAGGGCATGAACAATTCTTTAAATGTTCCACGTTCTGATGTCGTTCAGGTTATGATTACCGTTCGGTGAAAAAAAAAAGTCGTCCATTCATACTTATGAGTTTTGTTTAAGGTAAATGTCGCCCACCCAAAACCCAAATTGAAATAAAATTGAGTGAAATTGAAAGTAAAATTGAAATAAAAGTGCCATCTCCAATTCTCACGACCGTGACATATCCACGTGCTCACACCTCGAAGCGAGGAGGGGCAACTTGTCGTCGCACGACGCTAACAAGATGCCATAATGCTCCATTTTCCAAAGCCAGTCTGAATGCTCGTTCCCAACCACTGCTTTAGCTGCGATCACAACTGCGTTGGGGAGTTACCAGTACATTGCATTGACACTACTGTCGATTATGCAATAGCTAACACTTTGAGGCTGTCAGAAGTTCTTTCCCATCTCGTTACGGTTACCATGAACTTCCGGCCTACATCATCATAGCGACTGGAAAAGTGTGCGGCCCGAACAGGGCTCGCTTGGTACGGACGGCGAGTCTGCACGTAAATGCCCCATGAAGTAGTTGGCCTACATGTGAAATGGTTTGCAAATAAAGCACTGAATCTTGCCAGCACGCGATTCTACACGCCCAGAATTATTGCGCCTGCGATCCCACACAATCCTTACTCCGTTTCCATGACATTGACCGGGGATTCCTTGCCGTGACAATCCGACAGAGGACCAAGGACGTTAACCCTTTCCCTGGCGCTGAGGTGTTATAACAAGAGACTTTCCCTGTCATTGCCTGGTGTCGACGTGTTATGTCGTTTTGTATTGGATATTCATGTCATCGACTAATGGTAGGGCATGCTGTGAGAACTTGCAAAACAAATGAGGGGTTAATAGTTGATATATAATAAATAATTAAATGAAAGGGAAGGAGCTTACGTTATAACGCGCCAGCGCCAGGGAACAACAGAATCGCGATGGAAAAAATCTCTTCAGAATCACTGAACCGAACGCGTACCAGGCACGAGGTCGTCGTAGAAGTCGGAACGGCGCTGGAAGTCGGAGAAATCTGAAGTTCTCTTCGGTCGATTTTTCACCGCTGCCTTGCCCTCGAGGAACTCGTCCGGCCTGGACGCAGAAGGGGAGAAGTGCACACAGGACGTCAAATGCCAATTTTGATTAATATCTAAGAGGATTAGAGGTCTGAGGAAATGGACTCGAGTGTCGGACCAGCATAAATACGAAAGATGCCAACTTGATTCTAGAAATAGCCATGCTGCTTTAGCCATCCATAGCTCTGACCGTATGCCTATAAAGTTCGTATGAAAAGAGAAAATAACAGTCGGAAACCTAGAACGGTAAATATCCCATAAGTAACCACTATCCTTCCTCAGCATCGGCCCAGGCTGACTGTGTGTCATTTTGTTGAACGGAGCCGCCAATTCTCTTTGTAACTGTCTTATCCTCCTCCAGTCATTAAAGGTCACTGCTGGATTGGATCTCTGGTCGTTTGATTTCATGACTCAAGTATGCGATCACTCCCGTCTGTACCTCTCCATGCCAAGTCATGTTGGGAGAAGCTTAAGGAAAAATCTTTGCCAATACAACGAATTATAGTTATTATGGCGATTTACGATAAAATAATGATTATGAATGCCGATGTTAAGGTAATTATCTATATACGTGGTATAATAATAAGTTCTCATCTTCCTATACGGGAAAGCATTCCCGCTTCTAGGCAGACTTCAAAGCAAAAATTTTGCTTCAACTGCGCCCATCTTTGGCTTAGTCGCGAAGAGTTTAACTTTTGAAAAGTAATGCTTGTGAATTCAATAAATCGGTACGACGAATAAATTCAAGGTAACCGCGTCCTTCCTATCTCTCCCGACCTTACCTGGCGCAAACATCCTCCCAGGAATGTCCGCCTTTTGTTATCAACCGAATCTTCTTGTCCAACCTCGCCATCTGCAGGGGGAAAGGATCGATGCGATAGCTGGCACGTGCAATGCAAGCACGAAAACACAGCGAGCTTACGTATTTGAAGAATTCCGGCGTGAGGACATTCGGTCCGGTGAGGATGAGGTTCTCGTACCGAACTCCCTCGGGGAAGTTCTCCCTCATCCACATCTGCGTCCGATACAAATAGGAATCCGGCTGGAACCAGGCCTCCACGTTCTCCGCGTTCTCCTCCTTCCATAAGAGCATCCCCGGCCCGCACGCGGCCACCAACGCGAAGGCCAGCCCAATGTACGCCCAGGGCCGACTCGCCATGTGGTATCCGCATCTGTATGGAGCCGGCGTTTCCCTTATTAATTATTATTAATAATTATGTCTTAACGGTATGTACTGATACGGCCGATGTCGCATGGAAAAGGATGAATAACACCTGTCACGTCACTCCTTGTGTCGGCCTTCATCTAATCTCACAAGAGTGGAATAATTACCACTAAAATGGACAGAAGTATCATTCACCCAATTAAGCGAATAGTCCTCGACGACCCTGTCATATATGACGACATCGTTACTCGGCTTCGTTAACCACGGCCTTTTCGTAACACGCATTCACACTCGCATGTAAAGGCTTTCCAAAACCAAGGATTCCCCAATTACATTAGAAGAAAGGGAATGCCTCAGAACGAAGGAAGACGCGAAAGTGCGTTCATGATATTCTGGGCGTGATGCCAGCACTTCCAGTCCGGTTTCAACCGACTGGAACCGCGTCGGACTGATTAGGATCATTCTTGGAAAGTCATTTTCCTGGGAAACCCGAAGATACGAGGCGTGATCGGAAAAGTAACAGGACAAACGCAATTTATTTTACAACCTGTCACGCATGTATTGTGGTAGTACCGACCCTGAATTACACAAAGTCGCCACCCGGGTTGAGATATTTTCCCATCGAAGAACCAGCTCCTGCATAACATATTGTAATAGAACGCGCTAAGGCATTTGTTAAGTTCGTGTCGAAGCCCTTTCCAAGTCATAGACTAAGCGCGCTTCGTATTTCGTCCATGCAGCTGTCGGGCAGATAAGCCTCTCCAGGACGAAGGCCCAGCGGGATGTGTGAAATGACCCAAGTATGCAATGGCAAGCACCCAATCAGCGAGGTAGCGTAGGTCTGCACTGACCAATGAGGTTTTAAACACCGAGAAGCCGGCTGAACGGAGGCAGCGTAGGGCTGCGTTCACCCTAAGCAACATAAGACTTTGAACGCTGCGCGGAGAGCAGCGCGCGTACGCGTCGAACCACGAACTCTGTTGAGCACAACGCGAATGCTCTGTTGAGCATAGCCCGGCTGTTCATTTCGAAGCGGAGAAAGGCAAATTTGTGCATAGTTGCTGGCATGTTCATGGTACGGTGTTCCGTTGGAACTCATTGGAAAATCCGTCATTGTTGGAATTGTCGAAGAGGGAGAAGATGCAAACTCTCGCATTTTTTCTCGAGTCCATCAGGCAGTAAAACAGCGAAAACGCGTTTTTGCTTCATTTCGGTTTTACAATTGCTGCACATGCCCACATGGGGCATGCCGCTTGAAGGCTGAGGGAAAAGACCCGTGGCAGCGACCCCCAGGGGTTCGGGAACTATAGGTTTCTATAGGAACGGACGGGCTAAAATCACATTATCACCTCTTCGGCCCGCTCAAGGACGGACTTCGAGGACGGACTTCGAGGACAGACTTCGAGGACAGAGCTCACAGGACGACGACGAAGCAAGAGACGAGGTGCGCACGTGATTCTGCAGACGTTTTACAGCAACTTCATGAACGCTCAACGAAATCGGCAGGAAAATAGTTGTATGCACAGTGAGTTGTCGTCGCTTTCCCAGCAAATGTTCACGAACTTCCGATAAAAAGCTACGGAGGAAAAAAAAACTAACGTGCATTTTTATTAATTTTTAATTTTTGCACATTTTTGCCACGCTTTGCCTCAGCGCCTCTTTGATGATGTTCCATCGTTAACTTCAGATCAAATTTCGGCAGCGAGAATCTGGCTAAGACTGTTCTTCGTTGCTGAGCCAAAAAAGCATAGGTCCTCGGGCAGAAAGCCGTTAGTTCTCATAGAATTCCGCGCCCTGAAATCGCGTCGCCGAGTTTTTTCTTCTAAGGCCCGAACAGATGGAGGTCGCTAGGCCCGAGATCGGGACTGCAGGGAGGTCGACCGCAGGCTCAGATGAGGAAGTCCGCAGGCTCAGATGAGGAAGTCCGCGGGAATCCCTCCGTGCATCCCTCCGCGCGTCCAGCGACCTCCACCGGCCCTAAAAGAAGCACCTCCGCGGACGTGATTTCGCGACGGGTGCCGCGGCTCGGAATCGAGAGTGACACGCAGGACACGGAATCATAAGAGGAACGTCATGGAAAAACTGGTTCTTCGATGGGACAAGCGTCTCAACCTGGGTAGTGAATACCACGATACATGCGTGACAGGTTCTAAAATAAATCGCGTTCACAACTACAAGCTTTGCCTTGTTTTATTTAATTCTACAGCGAGCACGATGCCCAAGGAAAGACGGCGAACAAAAAATATCCAACTCCTTCGCATGCCCATCTCGCTCGCAACGGAAAAAGAAGCCTGTGTATAAAACAATATGCTCCTCCCTGTCGTCCTGCTGTTATCAAGGGGTATGCGAAATTATCAGCAAGGAAAATGTTTTAGAGCAAGGAAGTGTTCTCCTAACGTTTTCGAAAAAATGTAATTTTTTAATGCGAATAATTATTTTAGTGCTGATTCGTTACTGCAAAGAATTCCTGCAGAAAATAATCTGATGCCAAAATTAAAGGACCAATTAATAAATTACAGGATCGATTAATGCACGATCGATTAATAAATTACAGGACCGATCAATGCAGACGATTAATAAATTACAGACCGATTAATAAATTACAGGACCGATTAATGCACGATCGATCAATAAATTACAGGACCGATTAATGCACGATCGATTAATAAATTACAGGACTGATTAATGCAGGATCGATTACCGGACTTTCCTAGCGCCGCAACAGGGAAAGGTTAAATGGCATGAATGAAATTGGGAGTCGCATCGACCGAGAAGAATGGACGACATGAAATGGAAGGCTTTTCAGGGCCGTGCACGAACTTAGTTGAAGAGTTCCGCAATTTCGGAATTAAATTTTCCGGGAAACGGAATTCCGATTTTTTTTTTTCGCTGGGTGTTAAATATTCGAAGTGTTACATATATATTATGTTACATATAGTTTCAAATGCTAAATATTGCACGTTGAAAATGTCACGCATTAAATGTTGTACATTCAACGTTATCTATTTAAAATGTTGTACATTCTGAATGTAACAAAATTGCAAAATCCTGCCATTCCATTTATTATGCGCACTGCAGGGCGAATTTTCCTCATAAAATCGCGTTTTCACGCCGAGCCAGCGGATCTCGCGATCGCCGAGCCAGCGGGTCTCGCGGGTCTCGACGCATCCATTTCCGCTTCGAGCGGCCGAAAGCTCGTTCACGTCTGCATCCTTTTCAGCGTTGTCAGCGTTACGGTACATAATGGAATGAAGTAGAAACTAATATTTTTATTACATTAACAGTAATATATTTTCGTCCTGTAAATATGTGGAACTCACTTGTAGAAAAAGTTCTCCAAGATCGTGTGGACCTTGAGACTCAACTCCCGGATCACATTCGCGCCCATTCCGAGTATATTCGCAGGCTTCCCGCTATTTCCGCAGGCTTCCCGCTATTTCCGCAGGCTTCCCGCTATTTCCGCAGGCTTCCCGCTATTTCCGCAGGCTTTCCGCTATTTCCGCAGGCTTTCCGCTATTTCCGCAGGCTTTCCGCTATTTCCGCAGGCACTCGCTAACTGGAAGGAGACAAACAGCATGACCCATTTTATGTTGCGAAAGTTCGGCATGGTGCGATTTCGTTTTGCTCGAGAAGTCAGAGGCGGAAAATTGCCCGAAAAGTCCGGGTCCTTCAACCGGGTTGCATTGAAGGTCAGAGCGAAGCAAAACTTCATATCTCCCCGACATTTACCACAGATTCACCACTGGTCACGTGATGCGCCCCTCCGACGAAAAAATTTCCTTCGGGCCGGGGCCTCACAGCTTATTTTTCCAGCAAGTCATTTCAGCCAAAAACGCAGCCGAAAATCGATCCGGCGTTGGCGGGATACATCTCCGCACTTTCCGACGCTTTATTCATTCTCTGCCGTTGTAAAGCAGTGGAAGGGGTTCCACAGGGTTCCACAGGGTTCTCAACCAAATTAGGGAGGCTCGTACTGGGGTTTTGCCAAAATACCAAAAATGCCTCATTTTTTTCAATTTTTTTTTCTATCGCATTCGATAGAGCAAAACGAATTTTCTATTAACGCCGTTGGACGACGCCCGGATTCACCCAAACGACTGCGACCAGGTTGGGGGGCCTTTATTGGGCGAAGGACATTTTCCGAAGATTTAAAGGTCGTTGCTTGTAAAAGCTGAGGAAAGGACCACCAAGGGCGAAAATGGACTCTCGACAGCATCAGCGTCTTAAAACGGGTTGGCATCGAATCGTCATGTCGAGAAATGGACGTTTTGGTCGGGAAACGGTCGCGCGAACGCGACCGAACATCGAAGGATTCATTTGTTGAAGTGTTGGGAGATCGAAAGGTTCAGTTCGCCGCAGGCTTACAAGGCCGGAAAAAATACCGGAGAATTACCGAGAAATACCGGGAAAATACCGAGAAATACCGGGAAAATACCGAGAAATACCGGGAAAATACCGGGAAAATACTGAGAAATACTGGAAAAGTACCGAGAAATACCGGGAAAATACTGAGAAATACCAGATAATATACATTTATTTCCTTCCTTTTTGGCCGTCTCGAGTCATGCGTGTAGTCGCATCCTGCAGTGCGTTTTGCATTTGAATCGTGTCTGAAGTAATCAAGTCCCGACGAGGGCAGGATGGGTGATACTTGGACATCTCATCCCGAAGAACAATGTAATAAAGCGCTGAAAAGTCATTGAGCACTGATAGACCATGAGCACGCCAGGATTACGATATTTATTATTATTATTTTACCCAATATTTCTGCACCTGTTTGGTTCCTACCCGCAGTGCATTTTTATTCACGCGAATTCCTCGTCCGCTACTTGTCAGGCTGATGCAAAACGTTAAGCAAAAACTTCAATGAGCCGAAAAAATATACCGCAAAATTAAGCTATCAAGACGATCAAATCACTAAGCGAACCCGAGACACAGATTTTTTCGACCTTGAACTACTCAGACGCCTCGCGGGAAGAAATACTGGAAATGCACGGAGCCCGGTTGCCGGCAACTGGGCCTCGCGGGAAGAAATATGGGAAATGCTCTGAGCCCGGTTGCCGGCAAACGGCTGCGACACTGATGGACCCAAAAGATATGGTGAAGTCCCCGTCTGTAGAGCACCGAGGGCACGGTCCATCCAAGGAGAAAGTTGTCAAAAAGAAAGTTGCCTGGAACGAGGAATGTTGCCTGGAATGAGGAAAGTTGCCTGGAATGCGAAAAATGCCATCACTCAGCGTACTTCCGGCTTCCGTCGCAGCAGCTTCTTCTGATCCGGAGCGCAATCCAGACTTCATCACAGCCTCACGCGTGCATTTTTCTCCATTCCACGAAGACCTGCACACTCGTCTAGTAAGCAAACATGTGCAATCCAGCTTGCAATTTCGGACAGCTGGATCGAAGGCAGCAGATCGAGGATCCCCGAATGCCTCGAAACAGGTACTAAGCGAACAACAGAAGTTTCTGCATTGCCACCCACAGCCGCAGACGTTCAGGTCGACGGAGAGGGCGTGGACTGCCTCACGCCACCTCACACGTCATCACGCCACCTCACACCACCTCACAACACCCATCGGACGATTTTCGCCACCCCAAAAAGTTTTGAAAATCTTCGGCATGAAACCGCTCGGTACGGCGATGGTTGGTATGGTTTGGAATCGCACCGGTTTGACGGTCTCGCCCGACTTCATTCGATCCACGTTCGTCCCTCTTGCTTACCTAGTTGCTTAAGAGTTAAGACTTCCCTCACATTAAGCGCAAGGCCTGTTTCAATCACTTCTGCCGGAGCATGTGGCGGAAAATGCAAGGACTGGTCCTGCCTCAGCTCCGCAGAGAAGATTGCCGTGAAGATTGCCATGAAGAATGTCGTGAAGAATGCCATGAAGAATGCCGTGAAGTGAATGATGCGATTCATGATTCATCATGCCATCGTCCCGGCGGAAGACGTCCATAAAGTACTTGCCGGTTCGGCAAGTACTTTCTGGTGCTGTTCTGGACGGCACCGACTGGCATCGTTTGGAAAGCACGCGCGTTTTCGCGAATTCTTGTCGCAGCTCGAATAAGGAAGAGTCAGTGACTCAGCCTGTTGCTTCGAAGTTGGAAGCGCGCCACGTTCCAGGGAAAAAGAGAGCAGAGATTGAAAAAGAGCAACAGGATCCTCGAAATCACTCGTGCCCATGGGAACCGCTGCAATACGTCTTTCCCATAATATTTCTCTTTGAGTGCCACACACCCGTGTGAGTGCCACACACCCGTGTGAGTGCCACACACCTGTGACTTTCCGATGAAAATCATGATTTAAATTTTTTTTCTTCTGGCATTTCAATCTTTCGACGAGAATCAACTTCCATCGAAACGATTTTTCTTCGGCAAAATATGATTTCGGCTAATTTATTCGATATTTAGGGTTTCGTCCATTCGGCATCCTGCGACGCTTCCCTTTAAAGCCTCCTCACGGGCAGGATGTCCCCTTTGTTTAAAGCCCTCCAACCGCAGCGAGGCCTTCCCTCAAAGCAGCGAGGCCTTCCCTCAAAGATGGAGGAGGAGGTCGATTCGTCGATGCCGGTCGGGCATCCCCGGTCCTCCCCTTTGGAGGACGGCGGGGGATGAATGGGCGCTTGCAGGAGTGGGAGAGGATTATCTCTAGATTTACCGAGGATGAGCCTTCGTGCTGGAGATAGCTTAGTTTTTTGGGGGCTGATTTGAAGGAAAAATTCAATTCTCGTGCTATGGGACTCCCCGAAGTTTTTCGTTCCCATGAAGCTCTCAAATATAAATATAAAAAAAATTTGAAGGAGAAATTGCATGGAGTAATTGCATGGAGTAATTGCATGGAGAAATTGCAAGGAGAAATTGCAAGGAGAAATTGCATGGAGTAATTGCATGGAGTAATTGCATGGAGAAATTGCAAGGAGAAATTGCATGGAGTAACTGCATGGAGTAATTGCATGGAGAAATTGCATGGTGAAATTGCATGGAGAAATTGCACGCCCTAGAGCTTCGATTTGGTTTCTGTTTTCCTCCAGGAATGTGACACGAACGGAGACTTCCACAGATCATTTCACGACAAGTACCTTTATCAATGAAGTCGTACCATTTCACTTGAAACCAGCAGAGAACGAGTCCTCAAGTTCGAAATAGCCATCAAATTTACTTTACATTATTTACTTTCCATTTACTCTACATTTAATTTACTTAATATTAAATTTATGATCGAGGGCCGAGGTCGCGAGTTTTCGCATGTAGCACTCAATATTCACCTTTATTCCTGGATTGACGGAGTGGAGCCACCGCCAGAGACTCGATGGAAAATCCACCCGACCGGTCCCCGCCACGTAACAGCGCAGCACAAAGCAGTGAAAGGCCGGATGACCGGTCTCCCTCGAACCGACTGGACCCTCCGCCCGACAAGGCGAGGCAAGCTCCATTTCATTCCACTTCCTGTCCTCGGCCCGTTCCGTGACGTGAATTATCAAGCAGGAGAGTCATCGAAGATGGGGGGGGCGGGGCGGGGCGGGGCGGGGGGGGGGGGGCTAGGGACTAAGGCTAACGAGTCCCATTAGGGCGGGGAAGGATTCCATCCGGCTAAACTTCTTGGCCGTTATTGTAATCTTGTCCCTGAGCGTCCCTGTTTTTCCTCTTCTTTCCTTGGGATTTTTCCGTAGGAAAAATCGCCGCGAGATTGCCCCGCAGTGGTCCGGTTCCTCATTCGCGAACCCGCTTGCACATGACCCAACTGCATTTGGGCGGCACGGGGAAGCACGGGGAAGCACGCCTCCCTTCAGCCGGGATGGAATCCGCGTATTTCCGCCTCTCGAGCCGGCATCGCCTCGGGGAAGCAATTCCTGCTACGAGGGCATGCAAGAATCGCATTCGGAGTCTGCTTAACAATTTCATCATTGAAATATTTCTTTTCTCTCTCTCTCTCTTCGCTGAGCCTGATCCGCTTGATGCGACTTGAAAACCGACGAGTATTCGTGAAATTACTAATTCTGAAAAAAAAAATATGCGGAAATGTTCTTTTCTTGAAACCCGAAAAATCACTTGGAATCCCGAAAAATCACTTGGAATCCAGAAAAATCACTTGGAATCCCGAAAAATCACTTGGAATCCCGAAAAATCACTTCGCAAGGGACCGAACGTGCCACGGACGGCGCGCAGCATTTCCGGACAATCGTCCAATCCTCCCCGACCGAGTCAACCCGTCAAAATTCGCAAACTCAGACATTAAGAAATTCCGATTTTCCTTCTCGCCACAACAGATCTGGTGAATTTCAAAGAGACACAGCTATCAGTCGGAAAGATCAATTCCTTCGCCGGAGAAGAAAGTATGGACAGGACAAGGAGAAACTACTCTTGCTACGATGAATTCCAAGTACTCTTTCCCAAGTACTCTTACTCGATCTCTTCATAGAATCTTCTTACTCGATCTCTTCATAGAATCTTTCACACTCTGGTGCTGGCAGAATTGAAATCTGTCATCGGTTCTCATCGTCTCACCACCGATAAATTTCTTAAATATCTTAAATTTCTTTTCGCACCGATGGCGTGACCTCCCCAGATCCCTCATCCGGCCTCCCAGTTCCCTCATCCGGCCTCCCAGTTCCCTCATCCGGCCTCCCAGTTCCCTCATCCGGCCTCCCAGATCCCTCATCCGGCCTCCCAGTTCCCTCATCCGGCCTCCCAGTTCCCTCATCCGGCCTCCCAGTTCCCTCATCCGGCCTCCCAGTTCCCTCATCCGACCTCCCAGTTCCCTCATCCGACCTCCCAGTTCCCTCATCCAGACCATTCCTACTGGACCGATCGGATTATGAGAATTCTGCACGGACAGGAAAAGAAAGCGGATTTCATACGGAAGCCGCAGAAGACGATTGTTCTTCCAAGTATCAATTCGTACGAGGACGAAATAGCTTCCGCGACAGGCCGGCCTGAAATATGACCAACTCGACCAGATGAATACTTTCCCTATTCAACGTAATTCGAATTCCTCCCTCGAAAGACTCGTGCAGTCCCGTCGTCCATACAAATGAAGACTTTCTCGAGGAAGGTCATCGGGTGCATTGCATCGCCGTTGCCGTGATTCAGTAGAAAATCTGTGATACCGTCTGACACGAGGTTCACGTATCTTTCTACGGATTGTATCAGTTGAAGTGCAGGAAAAAATATATATTTTTTTAATATGGTGTATCTAAGCAAAAAGGCCTGTTTTGGCAGTCGTTAATCTGACATGCGATCCCACGTCCACGCCTTCGTCATTTCAAGGATTTTAGGAAAAATTCGGGAGACGGTGAAGAGAGAAGATGGCGTCCTCACGAACTGGCCTTGGCCACTAATATCCCTCAGGAAAGAGAGAAAAATAGGATTTGGTCTGCCAGCACAAGCCCCTAACGGAGACGCCCGAACCCAACAACGGAATGCAATGAAGATCGATTGTTTAAATGGTTTAAATCGTTTAAATGGACAGGAAAAAAAATGGGCAAAACATTGCTGAATGGCCCCCCTTATCATCCTTCAGCTGTCATTTTTATTTAAAGTCTACATAAATGTCGAAATTTGGAGTCTAAGATAGAGGAAATTCATTTCTCTTCAACCTTGTTTCAATATGGACATACTTGCACACGGAGGGAGAGAAGTGGAAATATCAAGAATTTGCTTTATTTTGTCAGAGCTCTGTTTCTGCAATTCTCACGATTTCACATGCAGGGAACAGAATCCGTTACCAACGAATGGACTCCAAATCGAACGAAATTGAATCTCCCCTTCTCGATTGCTCGCCCATACAACTAAGTATATTTTCTCCTTAGTCATTCATGCCGTAAAGACACACTTTTAACGAATCATATTTTGCAACTACGACGGTACGAATAGTACATTCAGGCACCTTCACTCCAATGCTAAGGAAGTATTTCATGAAATTATGTGAAATGCAAATAAATAGAATAATGTCGAGGGGGTTTATGTCTAACTGACAGCACAAGTATCCATCTTACACCTCAAGCTAAGAGAAAATGTCGGGGAAAGGTGGAGAAGGAGAAGGGGGACAACGGAAGTGGCAGGAAAAATAGTCATAAACGCCATCCACTGTGGATGTCTCCTGACCTCATCTCGCCCCAGCCGTGGTACAGCACTCGACCTGTATACCGTGCTAGTGGCTTGATCCATCTCCCAAATGCATACATAGCGACTTCATGGATTTATCGTGAGTCCTGATCTCTTCAGGATTTTCTATGAACCTGTTCGCGGGCATGGACCCATACATGGGTTTTAAAATTGACCACCACGAAGCAAGAGAAAAAGCGGAGAAAAACAAGATATGAGTGCAGAACTTGCAAAGTGTCCCTCTGCATTGTACCGTGCTTCGAAACATACCATACGCAAAAGCACTTCTGACGTTACCGGTAAGTCGAAAATTTCTGTACATGCTTATATATATTATATATAAAGTGCCTGCATCACATACATGAAGAGCATGAACAAAAATACTCTGAAGGAGCATGTTTTCTGAAGGTGTTGAAAAGTGTGAAAAAACTGGCCCTTGAAAGGGTTAATAGTTTTTTTGTGGAGGTAAGACGCCTGGTTGTCTCCTCCAGGAAAGTTGTTCTGTCAAATGTATCCCCTGAGTTGCCTGAGGCTCTCATTCTTGAATCCCTTTAACCTAATGGAAGAGTGACTTCGAGATTAATGTCTCAGCGCGTCTCCTACGAACCCTGCCTTTCAACACAGTCATTCAGAAGAATCGTCTATTTGCAACTCGCACAAAATGAAAGCACTGTTCTTTCTTCCGTCCTCATCAGCTTTGAAGATCGCAACTATCGCATCTTCATTTCTCTTGATGATCTGGTCTGTTTCAACTGTAAAAAAAACAGGACATGCAAGACGCTCATGCCCACTCATTTCACCTCCTCATGACATTGTCACTCGATGTGATCCACCTCCTCATGACATTGTCACTCGATGTGATCCACCTCCTCATGACATTGTCACTCGATGTGATCCACCTCCTCATGACATTTTCACTCAATGTGATCCACCTCCTCATGAGTCATTCGATGTGATCCACCTCCTCAGCCTTCATCCTCATTTGCTGCTCTTTCTGTTACAGCCCCTGAAACTCTTCACAAGACCAATGCACTTGTTGCAAACACAAACAACATGGAAACATCTGAGATCCCTGTGATCCCAACTGTTTCAGACATTTCTCGCACAGAACCTATCGCTCAATTGGATAATATAAATGCAATGGAGACAACTCAGGTCACTGCGATCCCTGCTACTTCTCATTCTTCTTTCACTGAATCAATCATTCAATCAGTTGAATTGATTCCTCAAACAACTGAACACAAAACCATATCCGCCGAATGGCCGTCATCGACGTCATCGTCTGTAGCCAACCGAAAACGTTCATCTTCTCTCACTTCTCAACCATTAACAACAAAGAAAGTGAAGGAAACTTCCTCCATGTCAATATTTTTTTCTGACATGAATACACATCCAGCAGAAACAGAAACACCCTCAGTTTCAGACCTTCCCACACCTCCACTTCTTCCACACCGACAAGAAACGCGCAAACCAAACCTTAGGGAAAAAAAACTGGAAAATACTTTCGAATCATCAAACAATGCAACCGAATCAGACATTAATGAAAGTTTGCAGTTCTCACGTGTGTAGATATATCGGAATAGAGACGGAATCATTTTTCCTATGAATTATTACTTTTCCTTTCTTGCAAAATGAACATATGTAGTTGGAATGAACATGGAATAGCTGGAACTCTTCGTTTTCATCAAGCCTTCATTTTGCTTAAGCATTTGAACTTCAATGTAGTTCTTCTTCAAGAAACGAACCTTATTCTGTCTGGCAAAATAGATCTTGACCAATGGGGTTTGATAGTGGGTAGAAGAGGGGCTAGAAAACCCTATTCTGGAATCCTAACATCTTTCAAGAGAAACTTCTTCCTCGCTCTTGCCACATGTAGAAATTGAGAAATGATACATTCTCCTACTTAATTTTGTTTGAGATAAACTCCCTTTTCTAGTTTATAATGTTCCACAATCTAATGAATTAACTCTCTAACTACTTGATATATTAGAGTTTAACCAGGCCGAAGCTCCTTCCATAGCCTATGGTAACTTAACAGGAGCGAAGAATAATTCAATTCCTTTTGGAGGCCCCTATGCATGACAGATGAAAATGGAGACCTCACTTTCCATATTAACTTGAGAAGTTCAAAAGGCAGCATCAAGTGCAAAAGTGCCCCAAAGACTCAATTTTGTGATACAAGTGTTATTGACGTACGTGTAATTTGATTTGATTGCTGATTTTAATTATTAATACTATGCCTTGTGATTCGTAGCATTTAGAACCATTGAGTCCCCCGACGGGACGTCAGGATGGTCCCTTGCACATTGAGCAGTGAGACTCGAATTTCATATTAAGACCCAAAGGCCTAAGCAGCAGTGGAATTTTCTAGTGGGAACGAAAAGCCACGGTCTTGTGCCGTAAGCATTGATTATTTTATTATCTGAGTTCAAACCATTTTGGTTCTTGAATCGTTTAAGTTTTTCCATTGAAAGGAATGGTAAGTGAGGATATCGCCAAAAGGAGGGTGTTCATTTTCGGTCGGATTTTGCCTAATAGCTCCCCACGATGAAAACGGCCGATCGTAAGAGGACCTCAAGTAGTGCATAGGTGTCCTATGGTCACACTTGTGATCGGAGGTTTCCCTGATCCGCTGGAGCCGAAAAAACTCAATAAATATCTAGGTGGCCATTTTCCACATAATCGCGTCACACGACGAAACCGGTGCCATTCGATAGAGCACCCCATGAAGTGAAAAGTATCAATGGCCACACCATGATCCGAGGTTAACCCGATCCATTAGAGGGCCAAACACTCGGTTAGGTTAGGTTACGGTGAAATTACATTGCACTTCAAAAGATGAGCATTTCTTCAGAATATCTACTTTCAACCATACTGAAAGAATGCGTAAGACATCCTCGATTCCCAGGGTTCGAGTTTGTAGGCATTGGCAACTTATTGGTCGAAATCGGCCAAACTATGTTGCCCGATTTCTTCGCCTTCTGGCGGATCAGGGCAACCTCGGATCACGGTGTGACCATTGGCACTTATGCACTACTTGAGGTGCTCTATCGACTGGCACCGGTTTCATCGTGGGGCGCTATTAGACAAAATCCCATAGGATTTGGACACCTTCCCTTTTGCTACCGATGCATATCCAATGCAAGCAAGTTGCCTATTCCAGCAACAATTTGGAAATGAATTTGTCGCGTAAGAGGGACAACTTTGCGTTAACTGGACTGGACAAGTCCTCCAAAGGGACGACTGATGACAATTGAAAGAACGGTATAAAAGTTTATTTATCAAGTTTATCATGTTTGAGTAATTTCTTGTTTGAGTGCTTTGCTTCAGCATTTTTCTGGAGTGCCCTCCTTATGCAAATGTCTTGATAGAATGGATATCTGGTCTATCGCTTGGAAAGACGACAGCAGGCATATTGAAACAATTGACTTTGCACACTGGCTGCAAGGCTGGTGTCACTTCCACATTGAGGGCCAGGTCCGCTGTTTCCATCGGAAGTGTCTGCAGGTCCTGGCTGAAGTGTAGCAACTGCTGCCTCGACGCGATGGAATGAAGCGGATCTTGAGATGGCATCGCCATTCACGATCACAGTACATCCACAAACAGAAATGTGAAAAAATTAGCTCCGATCCCGATTCACGTTTGGATGCACCAAGACCACGAGGAAACCACCAGACGACAACTGAAACCCAAGCATCGCAGCAGTCCGAAGCAATCACATACAAGCAAGACTGGCTCGTCGCTTGCGGTACGACGACACCTCGCAGCCCTCCCTCCTACCGACCATGGGAGAGGACTCGTGCCCTCCAGCACCCTCCCGCTGTGGATGCCCTGTTCCGTTCGTCATTGGATACTCTCCCCTATTCTTGTTCCAGTGGACTTTCCACTGAAAAGAATATAGGATTACAAATGCTTTCTTCAGTACTTCGCAGGATTCGCGCAAATACTCCAAATATGTAAACAATTCACACGCATACCACCTAACCTGTAAACTACTCGCGCAAAGAAAGCTGGGGCCAAGCTGATGTTCGCATGGAGACATGGGGGAGTTGTTAAAATTTTCTCTTTCACTTTTCCAAAAAACCACATCGTATGTTTTATGCAGGATTATTCCACGAATGTATAAATGGGAAAATATCAGAATCGACCTCCCGTCATCAGGAGCTGCTGAAAAATAACTTAATGCATCACATCCCGCGACATTTTTCGAGTATGCTACGCGATGTTTCCATGCATCCCGGATAGATATATGCCAAGTGAGGTTGACATTTCCAAATCTTGCACTTATGCACATTAATCGCTGCAATGGAATGCAACGATAGGCGAAATTTCCATCTCCCAAACGCACCATAAAGGTTGAGTAATGCGGTGCTGTGACAACGGGAAGTTTGCTTCCCTCAACGCCTTCAAGCTCCATGTCAAGGAGATCCGTGGAAGGACTAGCGCTCATTGAAGGCATCACGTCAACGAATGGATCAGGGCCAAACCAGCTCAACATCACAGGCAGGTAGAACAAACCGTGGTAAAGCCCGTATATCACCGAGAGCCAAATTACCTACCATACAATGAAATAAAACATCAGTATGCTGCACGCGATTTAAAATCAACAAATATCTGAATGTACGTAGAAACCGACCGTAAGAGAAACTTTAAAGAGATAATTGGTGCTCCAAAAGCAAAACACAAAGGCCATCATCGTAGTGAATCCCCCAGTAAAAACAGGCGGGCCGATCTCTGACAACGTGATTCGCACTCGTGCTTAAAACATAACATCACATGTTCAAATTTTCTTAATTTCTTTTCGTTTAGAAAAGCAATCAAAAGAGGACCTACTATCCTTGGATTTGCTATACGTCACCATGAACTTGTGTGCAATGTGGACGGAATAGTCCACGGCCAGCCCGACCGACAGGATCATGAGGATGGAGGTCATGATCTCCACGGTGAACCCAACGAACCTGAGGCCCCCAGCTATCCCGACCAGGGTGAAGAGGATGCAGGTGAAGACCCAGAGGGAGACGCGCAGGTCCCCCACCATCACGAGGACCACCACGAACACCCCGACCAGCGTCAGGCCGAGGTTCTTTATCAGCTCCTCGGATATAACCTGCAAGTGGCGAATGTCTGCTATACCTCCTCTCGTCCTTCTCGCTCTACCCTATCAAAGTTTTGGCGACAATTTCGGCTGCCATTCGCCGCGCACCGATTTTCTAGCGTACGCGTTTTTTTATATCCGCATGCATTCTTGCTATCGATTGCATGCCTACATCTAGAATGCAGAAGTCTCCAACTCAATTTCCGAGATTATGACATTTACATTTCACTCAACTCCTTTCTCCTTTGTTTAAGTATTGTCATGATCGACCCAAACTGATGGCTCCTGGACGGACATTTCCCTATGCGGCTACGCCTTTACGTTTGACTTCTCTCATTTCATCTCAACTGTGTGGAACTTCACGGGACGTGTTGTGAATTGAGTCTGGGAGGACAGATCATGTCAGCGGAGAACAATCCGTCAGAAGTAGCTCTATTCTGCCTTCTCATCGCTCGACCCATTTTGTGAGAACAATTAAGAGGTTCGGCTGAATATTACCTGGGGACGCAGAAATCCTATTATTATATAGATTTCGCAAGCATTCCCAGCCATGGTGTGAATAAATAATTGCAGTTATTAATTTTCATTGTGTTAAACTTTTTTGCGTTAACCTAATGCAGTACAATGACGGAAGTACTTGTCGCCTGACAGCGTGTTGAAACACGTTTTGATTTTAAACTTTTTGAACGCATTTCCCATTCGATACCTGTGATTGGTTCTTGATATATTTAATATTATTAATCACTTAAAACCTAATTTAAAGAACATTTAAATATATTAGTCTATCAAAATCTCAATAATTATGAATGCATCTTGTACCTGCATCCCGAACGCAACCAAAAGAAGCCTCACTGACTAATCATTGGCCAGATTATTTCAAATATCAAGAGCCAAAGCCTGAATCGGTGCACCTTTCTCCCAAGTCATCATCCCCTGAGGAACGAATGAAGACGGCTTTTAGCTATGCGACACACCTCCCTTAAGACAATTCTGTCGTCGATAGTTACATCACCCATTCAAGACCAAAAATCGATATGACTTTCCTGATCATTCCGGATGGCGAGATAGTCGGGCCCGAGGCATCCCCTGAAGGGATCCCGGAACCTGAACCGCACCGAGTGCAGCACCTCCTCCACCTCGTCGATCCCCCGCCGCTTCTCCACCCCATCGTTGAAGTGGATGTGCTGGTACCTTCCCCTCGAGGCCTGCAAGGGTGGATGGATCTGAGATATCCACTCTCATACCACAGGGTCAAGGGCCACATCAAGACCATCAAACTTTGTCATTGGTGTCGATATTGCAGTGACTTCGCGGACAGCCTCAGGGAAACGCACGCTTTCTATTTGTCGGCGCAGTTGTCACGTTGAAAATACGGCTACTCAGGCTAATCATCGTGTTTCGGAGACAGCAAGCAGTGCATTACATCATGATGGCTTTATCCGCCTGTCGTGAATGAGAAAGGGTTTCTTACAGGTTCTGAATTCGAGTCCCGTATTCGCATAACCATCATCTGTATGGTATGTACTAATGCATTTCACCAGTTTTCATTATTTCACTGCTGACTTGCAGCTGGGGGTGTATGACGAACGCTTGGAAACAGGTTTTCCTTCCACTGGCACTGTCTCACGCTGACACTAGCGCTCCTCTGGTCCTACCTCCCCTGGTATTGCCTTTCCACTTCGACTTCCTATAATCGTGTGCGGTCTGCAATTTACGTGTCGTTTGGATTCCCTCTTTAGTTTTTTCTCTCTTGTTTCACCTTTAATTAACGTTCTGGGTACAATGGACACTAATAGAAAATTTAGTATTTGTGAAGGCTGCCCTGTAAACTTGTTAAGTTAGATACTCCGTGTATTTTCATGAAGACATGTGATGATATTAAGGTAGAGTATTTAAAAGAGAATCTTTGCAGATGAAGCAAAGAGTAAAACATATGACCATCCGGGTTCTGATAGTTACAAGGTCGATCGTGGTGGAATCCATTTGGAATCTGGGTGAATTTTCCTCGTTTTTCACTAGTCCATCCTTACCCTGTACTTCTTCCTTCTCTTCATCTATAGTCAGTGAAAGCTGTCTTACATAATTATTAATTACACAACCTCGCATGGATTCATTGAAAACTGACGAACACGAGATACTCGGCCGCGTAGTCAACTCTAATCCCCCAACATCACCAACCGTTAAAACAAGTAGCACGAAAACCGCCACAGACGTTACAGGAACGTTCCCACTCAAGCGAAGAGGGACGCCTAGGTCATCCACAATGAGGCCACTGAAACGGATTCCCGTGTTTGTTTTCTCGGTCGCTGAAGCGCCTTCATGAAATTTTCCCGACCTCCCTATCCTTCCACGCAAAATCTTTGTGTTCTGTTGATCTAAATTTAGCACGCAGAGACTGGCCTAAATTCAGATTATTATCTAGGCGCATCTAATTGGTGGGAAAATGTGTTCGTTTTGAGATAGAAAGTTCGACTTCAGGCAGTTTCAGAAGGCAATGGGAGAAACTCTACTGGGGGTCAATTAATATTGACCCTCTATACAAATTGAAATCCTATACCAAATCTTTTCCGCCTTCAGATACTATTTCAATTCGGTAGAAACCTTTGCATTATACTAAAGTAAGAAGGAATCATAACCATCACGCAGGAGGTCCTGGTTCGAACCCGACCGGCAGAATTCTCTTGGACCGACACTTCACCCGGCTGCTTTTTTGGGTTCTACCTGACCCCGTGCACACCTCTACTCGGTGAGACAGATCGGCTCACATCCAGCGCATGCACTCACGGTGATGTTGAAGTCGACGAGGAGGTTCCCAGTGTATTGCACATCGCGGAGGTACTTCCGTCCCTTCTTGGAGAAGACCAGGAAGGTGGAAACCATGTCCTTGAATGCCGCCTCTGTTTTCGGATACGTCTCTGAAGAAAAATTCATAGAAAACGATGACACTCCATGAAGAGACCATGCTCACGCTCACTGGAAAACTTTACATATTTGGGGGAAGCGCTTGTTTCACATAAGGACAAGTTAGGTATTTGAAGTGGGAATTAAAATTTTCAGTGTCGGAAGCTCAAAGTGATGTTCATGCACAGCTAAAAAAGGGGAGACAGGAAGTGTAAAAGTAAAAAAAAAAAAGTATATCCATGCAAGCGTTGCCTGTGCAATTATTTCCATTTATAGACACACAAAATTGAGCAAGAAGTCGAACTTAGTACTGTAGTTCTAGGCTCTTATAGCTGACCATGCTATCCACTCCGTAATATTCATTGAACGAAGCAGCTGTTTCATTCTCATTCGATTATCAATCAAATCCTTTATACAATATAGTGCAAGGAAAAATTATTGGGAAGTTCAACGAAAGTCGTAAGACAGCCCCAGAAAACCCTGCACAACCGTGTTCCAGCGTTGGGAACCAATTACTCGACCGACATTAAAGAGCATGGACTCCGAGGAAGTTAATCCATTCGCTTCCACAAGCGTTCTGATACGCATGATCCCATAATCTTTCCTTAAGCCTACAGCCTAGATAGGCCCAGGCTGGTCGGCTTCGCAAGTCAGGCTAAGGCAGCAGAATTCTAGCCCAGATAGGTCGAATGCATGCGAATGGGTGAAGCTTCTCCCAAAGCAAAGGATCATTTTAAGGGAGCATACGTGAAGAGCTTAAGAGTCTGATCTCCACGTAACGAAGAGAGACGAACGCGTTCCTGCCCTCCCTCGGGGAATGCCTCGTACGTGAAGATGACTCCAACTTGAGTAAAATGACGAAGTTAGGAATCAACCACCTGATTTCAGAAATTCAGCATGTATTCCACGACATCCCCAGTGGTAGGTAGCCTAAAACCCTGGGCATTACATGATAAGGTGGAAGAGTTCGTATGGTCCGGATAGTACGCTGACATGCAACTACACGGCGAGCGGTGCCCAGAATGTCAAATCAGCCAGTGCTGCTCGCCAACGTGATGCACGAATGGCCAATGTTCCCCAAGACGAGCAATATTAATTGACATTATAGGCCCCTTGGCTGCTAGAAATTGGCATTTTTTGGTCTTTATGGACCGTGGTACCCGTTTCCCAGAGGCCTATTCTCTGAAGTTTAATTGTCGAAGTCCTGCATACATGAGTTTTGTCGATTCCCATGCATTCAATAAGGGACATTGGACAAAATTCCATGTCAAGAATCACGACAGACCTATATCGACACGTGGGTGCAGCACATCTCCTAGTGGTCGCAAGTCAAGTGGTCCCTGAACGAGCCATTCGCTTTATACCAGAGACATCTTAGGAATCGTTATTTCACCAGGAACTACGTCAACGGGATGAACCCAAAAGCCCTGTGTACCATAAGTGCAACAAATTGAGTAATCAGTGCATGTCTGTATTTTCGATGTTCTGCCGTGACACAGCAACTCCCTGAAGCATTCTTTGCAGAAGGGCCAATCAGACAGGGTGGTGAAGAGTTGAAGAGCGATAGGGAAGGAAAGTAAAGGAGATCGCGAAATCACTTCCATTCGTGACTGTTACTTCATAAGAACCACGGAAGGGCTCAGCGGAGATGGTCCCGGGTCTGTCAATCTATCGCGGAGCTTAGCCTATGGCAACGACAGTCACCCTACGCCTCACCTCGTTACATGTACGTGAGTTCGTACAGGGTGTCCCAGAACAGACAATGAATGCGATTTCGTAACCAGGCAGCTCTGACCCAAGTCTCTTAAGCCTTGGTGAAACACGTGAAGCCTACAAGACTATGCCTTCCTAGGCTATAGGCTTGAAGGAAAGACCTATCTTCTTTGCTTTCTGGGACATTTTGTACATCTGTATTGCACATTACTAATCCTAGGAGTGGATCACTTAAGTCGCTTCCTTGTTAAGAAAATGATAACTGACCCTTGTCCGTGATTTATTTAATTCTGGGTGGATAACTGATCACCTCCAGGGGTGCGCCCTCGAAGCTAAAGATATCATGGCCTCACACGCGCTCCCAAAGACCGAACGCCAATAGAGACTCGCCTTTTTCCTCCTCGAGGTATTTCAGGAAAGCCGGATACCAAAACTCCACCGAGCCATCTCTCACCCCAGGCAACCCATCCAGCTTCCTGCACAGCTTCAACAGCGACTCCTTCTCTTGGAAGTAATCCGCATCCCCTGTCCATAATCATTCTTCATCACGTCCAGTCTCAATTTCATGCCTAGTCCCCACCTTAAACTCACCGAGGTAAAATTCCGCCCTGTAGCCACTCTCCGGGAAGAGCTCTTGCAAAGCCGCCAAGAATTCCCTTAAATACCCCTGATCCAGGAACCAGGACCTGTCAAATTCGTTCTTCAACCCTGACAATCCCCAACAGTTGACCACGAACAGTCCCGCCGTAACCAGCATCACAACCACCTGCAACACATTCCCGTTACACAAATACCCTCAAATCGTGCTCCCCTGTACCCCACCTGCTCCCCCCCACCCACCTTCACAGGCTTCTTCACGATGAGCGGAGCAAACAGCTGATGGAAGAACTCTTCCAACACCTGCTCCTGCGAGCAGCTGCTCGTCTTGTAGTTGTCCGGCAGCTGAATGCAGAGACACCCTTCCCTCCCGGCGTCTCGCCTCTTCTCATCCAACGACAGAATCGGGACTATGAATATCAGCGTTATGACGTAGACGAGGAGAATCCCAACGGCCGTGAAGATACAGAAGCTCCTCAGCATCGGTATTTTCTGGTTAAATGAAGGTAAACCACTTCAAAAAAGAAATCTCTATTGCAAGTCTGACCCTCCTTTCTTGGCTCAAAGCGGTTCAAGTTATCACTTACTACAACGCAGAAATAGAACGTGCACCTTCAGTACACTGCACGATGCACGTTACGTCCTCCAAAAATCTTATTACGGTACAGGTTCCTTGTGGAAAGCGCCATTCTCAACATGTAGACCTGAACTTGACTCGGAACCAGAATACTTCAGATCGAAGAGAGCAGGCAGGCGACTCACCGTCGTGGCTCCAACGCCGAAGGCAAAGATGTCTGTGAGCGTGGTGATGGTGATGGAGACCCCGGCCTGCTTCAGTGCCTCCCCGACGCGCTCCTCCGCCTTCAAGATCCCTCCCGCGTTCACCACGTTCTCCAGGCACTGAGGGGACGCAGCTTTAGATTCTCAAAGCTTAATCATTTTTATGCCTTTGGGATTCATCAAAAAAGTTTCCATGCACAAGCGCGAATGATACGAAGTGGAGCATCATCTAAATTGAAATGCATGTCATAAGACCCTAATCATAATTAGAAGAAATGCAATAAATAGAATTAACAGTAGCTCTGAACGGACAACAAAAGAAGCTGTTTCGCATGGAAAAGTATCATACTCTAATGGTAAATCTCTAGGATATTCAAATGCATGTACAGCAAATACGTTGCGTTGTGGTATGTGAATACTTCGCGTTGATTTCAAGCAGAAATGCGATTTACATAGAGATCCAGCCAGCTTTAAGGAAGTAATAATTTGAAATGAATATTACTGCAAAATAAATTGTACGAAATACAAAAGTAATTAAATATAAATGAATATAATAACATTTAGTAAACATTATTATTAAATATATTGATACATATAAATTTATTAAAGCAAAACTAAAAAATGTAGCAGATCAACGGATACCTGAATGATGACGAGTGTGTCGTCAATACCGATTCCAAGGATGAGGAAAGGCATCAAATTATGGAGTTCCCCCGGGAGAAGCCCAAGGTATAGGCACAGCCCAAATGCACTCAAGATGGTCATTCCGATAGACAACACCGTGGCCAAGCCCAGGTAGATCTAGTAGAATTGCCGAAGTGGCGTGAACTGAGAGGTCCAACGATGAAGCATAGATTTTTAATAAAAATGTTCCACCCCGAAGTACGCTTTCCTTGCTTTCGAGACAAATCTAGAATGTTCTAGAATGTAGTAATGCATACCTTGGCTTTGATTATGCATAGGAAGATTCTGCTGTTCATTTTGGCTCATCGGTCACTTGCAGTTTCTGGATTAGATTTTAAGGCTTATAGCCGCTAAAATTCATCTCGTACCTGACATTGTTTACGATGCTAATTTCCCTGGTTTCGGGGCATTTAGAAAGCCGTTGCAACACGTATTATATTCATCCAGTGATATCTTGACATATTTGGAGAGCTAAACATGTGTGAGCATGAAAGGCAGGATGATGCAGAGGATGAGGATACGTGATACAACATTGTAAATAACTCAATATAATATTGCAACCGCGTTGTATTGGGGTCCTCACATGGGCGAATAACATGACTGATCATCTGAATTCCAAATGCGTGCGTTAAAGCGTCACAATCGGCTTATGTACAGAATATAGCAATATGGTAAGGAAGTGAGCATGACATTCCTAGAGTTTTCCAATTGTTTGTCATCCTTGCGCATTTTTACTTGCCAAAAATATTAAATACATTTTGTACAGAAATGGAAGCCGTATTTTATGGCATCAAAAGCTATTAAATCCATGCGCCAAATCCAAGAAATTTGTAAATATTCGAGTGCTAGGTGCAACTCTCTGCAAATAAAATTCGCACTCACTCTCTGTTGCAAGAGATTCGACTTCCCCAAGGTAGCCGCCAGGTAGATCGTGATGAAGATGAACCCGAAGACGAAATAAATCCTGTTATTCTCCAGCAGGGCCATGAGCCCATCCCGATAGCTGTTAGGGAAAACAGCCTAGCGCTGATGAAACATCCGCATGGACATCCATTTAGGAAGAAACATCCACTTGGAGGAGCGAGGCTTCACCTGCGCGTTGAGGAGGCGTATACCTCTAGCCCGGGTGGACGGGTACGGTCGTTGTGGAAAACCGCCTCAAGGAATTTCGCCTCCCAGGGCTCTGAGATGGGATCGATCTGCGGACACAATAATGAATTTAATTTTAAATTGATTCAATCTCATGAATATACTGTACAGTATATTTATTGAATTTATAATGTAATTAATATCTTACTATGATGAGAGAATATTTATCGTGTAACATGCCAAAATTAAGTAAGGACCAAAAGTGGATGAAGATTTCAGGAATCTGAACGCTGTTCTGCATTATTTACAGCAGTGAATTTTCATCCTTTAGAAAATACTTCATGGTGGATTTGAATATTGATGAGTGGGCATTTTTACTTTGCATGAAAATTCATCTTATGCGCCAGGTAAATCTCGAAAGGAAATTCTTCTTCATTCTAAAAAATATAGCATCCCCCTGTCGGTTTCCAAGCCAATCTCGAGAATTTGAGATAATAGCATACTGTCAGACTGGTGAGAAATATATTAGTTGCCACATTATGGCCAAGTTTGCATGGATGACCTTGTGACATGGCATGGCAACACGACTCACTTCAACCGACTTTCAACGAACTTTAAACCAACTCACCCGTTGCCCCTGGAGATTGGTGATGTTCGTCCGGTCCTTGAGGATGTAGACGCTCAAGACGGCTGTGGCGCCCACAACCCGTCCCTCGGCATCGCGCTCCACGCCAGATAGTATCACGTCCACGTCTCTCTTCGACCTACAGCACGGATATATGATACTCATGCATCACATTATCACTGTTCTATTAACGAGGAAACACTTTTTCCAATCGTGTCCCAATGCATGCTTATTCGCTACGCATTGATTTCGGAATTACTCTCATTTCCGAGAATTATCTGTTTCGTTTGGACAGTGGAAAGTGCTAAACATTTTGAGAGTGATGAATCGTGCAAATATTTCAAGTTTGCGGCGAGAATCCCGAATGACTTTGCGTTCCCTGGAGTTCGCACCTTTTCAACTAGATTTCTAGGCTGTTTTTTTTTCACTTTGATATCATTAATGAGTTTAATGAGAATAATCAACCTCGCAAAAAGAAAAACGATAGGAACTCAAACCGCAAAACAATAGAGAAAAAAAAACTCTAAACTCACTCGTCATCAAGCGCCCGCGTGATTTTATCCCGGATCTCCTCCTTGGTGATGGCACTGAAATCGAAATCCTCATCCCACAGAAGAAGGGAGCTGGAATAGATGCACTTATCCTCGTAAAGGACCTTTTCCTTTCCCTTCTTATCACTCCCAAAAACGTCCTCATTTGAATCCTCCTTCCAACCGTAGTTGTAGTCGTCGTATTGCGCGGATTCTTCAGTGATTTCTTCTGGTTCTGGCTGGGCCTTTGACACTATTGCATCAGCCACTGTCGGTGCTGCTGTTTTTTCTGTTGGCATAGACACGAATGACGATGCTGCCGTTCGTGTTGCTGTTGAAGTTGTCGATGGCGGTGGCGTTCTCTCATGTCCTTTCCGTCCAGTCAAGCCAATGCCAATATCTGATTCAGTATTCGCCATATCTTCAGATGTATCTTCACCTAAAGAAATATATATAATTTCCATGTGAAGAACTCTAGGAAGTTAAAAAAACACATGAAAATAAGTATTGGTAATTATTAATACCAATTATGGTAATTATTAATAATGCGTGACTGGTGAGTAATACTGATTATTAAAGAGTAACTGTCAATTACTAATTATTCGTATTTGAGGGTTATTCATGAATAAATCTCAACGGAAGCGGACCAGCTTATATTACATTTACTAGCTCATTAATTTCATTATTCATAACGAATCTCAAATTCTAGTTCACTGGCAAACATTGAAGGTGGCATGAAGGGTTTCCTTTGAGAATTATCTCTCTGGACAGACCAGACAGACACACCAAACAGACCACAGACAGACAATCGATTAAACTTCCTCATGATCGTTATTTTATTCCATAGAAGAGTGGGGTTAATGGCATTTACGGCTAATACTCGAACTAACTCCCTTTATTCAATATTGGAAAGCTTGCGTCGCAAAATTTTGAGATTATTCTCAGTCCTCACAGAATAAGAGGGTTGCTGAATCTGGTTTTCGTTGAGGGGAGGGAGTGAGTGAAAACACCATGAAAATGCTGTAAAAAATGTTCAAAGCATGAAAAATAAACATTTTAATACGGAGGCCTCGAGAGTAACTTCGCGAACTTGTTCGAGCGGTTGGTCGGCCTCAGCAACTATGACGTCAGATAGCAAAAAGACAGAAAGTAAAGCCAGAAAGTTGGATATTTTATGTTTTGTGAACCTAAAGATAAACATTAAATATTTTGAACGCCAACATTTTCTTCAGAACTACGATCTAAGAAGACAATTTACGATCCAGCGTAATGCTGAATAATTATTTGCGAAAATCCTCAGCAAAGCAAGGGTAATTCTTGGCCCACCGGCTTCACGAGTTCGAAGCAGAAATTTCTCCTCCAAAAGTCTTGCAAAACTTTTCCGTGATCAAAATTCTCGGCAGCATCATCTGCAAACATTTTGATGTTCTCAAACAGCTTACTCTCTCACTTCTCCAAAATTGGCCCTTAAATCCAGTTAGAAACCTTTCTCCGCGATCCTTCACAGCTTCTTTGGAAGTCGCCATCGAAGGACTTTGGAAGACAGGGAGGGAACTCTAGCTCACATCGAATCGTACAGCGTTCTCAAGGCAGCGCGAGGAATGGCAATCCATTCTTGGCCCAGAGAAACTATGAACAATGGTTCCGAACCAGATTGCTATTGAGGCAAAATTTGAGGAAACGGTTGCACGAATATGTCAGTGGGAGCTTCCGCAGATGAAAAAAAGATCGATCAAATAAATACTTTTTCTTCTCTGTCGATGCGAAAGGCATTGAGATTTCAGATGATGAAAAAAGTTGCAAGACTTTAATGTCATGCTTAATGTCTTATCCATGCATAGGTAAGACATTAATCTGTCCGAGGACGAGAAACGTTACGTGCATGATGCCATAGGTGCCGAGAAATTTCATCGCGAAAAATGTTGAAAAACTTTTGGAAAGTATACGAGCAAAATAAACCAGTCAACTAAGCCAATCGGGACTCATTCAACTGCTCACCACCGATGGACATGCCTTGATGCAGTTGGACTCGTTCGGACTCATCTGGACTCAACCGGTTCGGGACATCTCTTTCCCGTCTTTTCTGCTTGATGTTCCCTTCCAGGAATTCATCCGGCCTGCACGCGTTACAAAGAAAATCCATTAAAAGTAGCTCCAGAATTACCAGAACCCTGACGGTTCCAAGTTTCAAAAACTTCCAAGTTTTCGGTGCAGCCTACCCAAGTGGATACATTTCTTTCATTAGGGTCCATTGGACCCAAAACGACATGCAATGGGTTCATCGCGAATGAAATTATGTGGTCTATTTCGCTCATTTCCATTGTAACACCCAACAATTAATACGTTTTTTTTTTGTTATTGGGAGATTTTAGATTTACCTGGCACAAACGTCCACCCATGCGGATCCCTCGGCTTCTAAGGATCGAATTTTCCTGTCCAGAGCCGCCATCTGCAACAGACTCAGAGTGAGACCATCTCCTTCAAAACGCCTCGACGCTGGCAACTTAGTTGAAGAACATATTACTTCTCTCTCATATTCGAAAAAATTCCCCTCTCTAAGTCCGAGGACTTTCCACACATTTGGATTACCCCCTCAAATTTGAAGCATTATTCTAATATATTTTGAACATCCTTCTCGTAGATTTTAAACAGCCCTCTTACATATTTGAAGTATTCAGGCGTGAGGACGTTCGGACCCGCCACGATGACCTGTTCATACCGGACCCCCTCGGGAAAATTCTCCCGGATCCACATCTCCGTCTGGTATATGGGTGCCTCGGGGAGGAACCACGTCTCCACGTTCTCCGAGTTGTACATCCGCCAGAAGAGGAGCCCCGGGATGAGGCCCGAGGAGAGGGCCACGGAGGCGAGGATGAAGAACCACGGTCTGCGCGCCAGCACGAGGCCGAGTCTGCGAGGAGAAATGGAGACTCTCAAATTTCCATGGGATTGGTGAGGACTTTCTCCGTTATGTACTTAAGTATGATATTAGTCGGTACTAAATCGTCTTGGGGTATCCTATCGATTCCCAGTCTTTATTATGTGCTGCCTTGACCCCGACCCATCCGGCCAGGTTAAAACTGCCTTTTTGGTGGCATGAGTTGCAAGTTGTTGGAACGAAGATCTCAGTTTGTAGAGAAAACGTAGCGGATTGGAAGTTTCCCAAAGACATTGGCATAAACAAGGTGACATGGCATCGGATAATTTCTGGGCGCTCGTGGAAAAGGAGCAACCCGAAATCGACTCTTACGCGATATCAGTGTTGCTGCCGTTTGCCTTCTCTCGTATCAAATTGTTTTGTTCCGCGAAGCAAGCACAAGTTTCCCATTTAAAGTAAGGAAATGGCTTAGCGTGCCGCCGAAAATTTAAGTGTCCTCATGTGTGCAGCAAATAAAAAAAAAAGGTTGAGAACCACTGGTCTAAGGAAGATCAAATGTCTCCGTAATATTTCGATCCCTCGGATATTACTGCCCCTCGGAGTGTCGCCTCTAGTTATATGTCGCCTCTATGGTTGTGCGACCACTATATCGTTGTCCAGTACTGTCTGAGGCGGAGTAGGTACTTCGAGTAACGGAAAGTATAAAGAGGGGGGAAAAACGCAAGGAACACCTTGGGAATAATTAATTAATGGACCCTTTATTGCTACTGCTGAATTAGTAGGTTTTTATAGATACATTGCAAGAAGCATAAGTAAACACCAGAACCAGACGAATGCCTTCCCACTGAGCTGAAACTTCCCATTTCATTTTTTTGCAAATATGATTTTATATCGACAGGAATTGTCAAGCTTCTTGGTGAATTCTTGGTGAATGATGGTCTCTTGGGGCTATTAGGGATCCGAACGGTCGGGGTGAAGTGCGAATGGGCAGGGGCAATTCGTGCAGTCCGCTCGGTACGCAAGAAATTGCGGGGAACGTGGAACAAGCCTCTCGTGAAAGATTATCGCAATTGGCACATGCCAATCAGAAATGTTGAAAGCCGATCAGAAATGTTGGCAGAGGTGAGACGCACTCGATCGCGCAGGTTCCTCTTCGCCTGCCCGAAGCGCGCCTGTCCCTGCAATGGCGATTATCTTGGGCAATTACTACGGTCACCTTGTTTTCGGACAGGTACGTTTTCTAGATGCATCGTCATGTGATGACTTTGACGAAAACGAGAGTCAGGTAAATAGTTTGATTCTTAAAGGCTAAAATTCAAGATCCGTGTTCGCAGCTGGAATTCCCTTTTTCACAACTTGAATTCCCTTTTCTCTTTAAGCAGCTCTGCGATGTGCGTGACCCCGTCGGGATATCCGGATAGGATCAAGGGTATGATGCACTCAAAGGTTCTAGAGCGAAACCCTCATAGAACCATTTTCAGGGAAGAGTTGAAACCGATTCTTGGAGCTAGCAGGGTCTGAGGGCTTTAACAGGGACAGGAACGCTACGACCGAGGACATTCGCACCATCACTCCAACCAGAATCTTTTATACTATTGTAAAGAAAAACGGTTCTACTCGATTGCGACCATTTTTTGTGAAACATTTTCGTGGAGCCTTGATGAGCTGGTTCATTCCTAGAACTACCAGGATCCGGGGGCATTGACACGACAGATAATCAATACTGTGATCTGGGACATTTGTATGATCACTCCCACGAGTGATCATGTGAATTAAGCAAAGATGGTGTGAAAATGGTTCTGGGAATCACAGGACAGAGACTCGAACCAAGGTCCTTCTTTAATAGTTCAAGAGCTCCGAGTTGTTTTTATGCCTCGTTATGTCAAATTGATTTTAAACCATTTCAAATGTTTTCTCGGTTACCGAAAGCAATTCTGAAAATGGACAACCGTTTAAGGGTTCTATTTTGAAGCAGTATTTTTTAGAGTGGGGAACTCGATATTATCAGTTTCAGGGTTCACGGAGAAAGTGTGTGTGCAACGCCGCTCAGAGTTGTTGCTAAAGGCTTTTAATAGGACGCGACCATTGGGGTAAGCCACAGCGTTGACAGAAGAAATTGCTAAGAAGTGAAATTTCTGAAACACAAATGATCTGCAGACTTTCCAGGAATGGGATTGATAATTTAATTTCCTCATGTGTCATTATATAAATGTTCGATCGAAATACTTAAAATTGATTAGCTTGAGATTGATCTGCTTGGACTAGTACTTACTTGTGGAAAAGGGACTCAGAGATGCCGTGGACGCGACGGCTGATTCTCCGCATGACGTCCGGACGCATTTTCGGGCTGTTTGGAGAAGATGCGGTTTCGGGATGCTGTGGCACTTCCGGTTTATTCCCGGTTTATTTTCGGTTCACACGACACTCACCTCAATGCTCGCGTCTCGTCCTACCTGCTAGAGAACCCAGTAAAATTTGTAAGTCAGCAATACTAGTGGCAATTCAGTCTCCACGTCAACGATGAGAGTCGGAGAAGAAAGTAGGGGGTGGGTGGGCCTAGGGAGGGCCAAAAGAGGGCAATGTCCCCATTCCCTCAACAAGAAAATGCACTTGCTCAATGTCCAAGACAAGGAAGAATCTAAGCGCTTATGATCCCGTAACAACACGATTCTTTTGTATTTAGCCGAGGCAGCGAGAAGGATTGCCAATTTTCAGGAATGACGAATCAAGGTTAAACTTTTTAAATCACGGCCTTCGGCCGCGACCCAAACTGTTGGGTAATTTAGATTCAAGCAAACCCTATTGGCTAACGTATTGCTTTAATGACTTGCCATTGTTTGGTTTACCTGGTTAGAGCAGCTTCATCCTTTAATTTTACATACCACTGGTACGTAAAATGAAAATTTTTGCTTTTCGAGCATTTGAAGTCACCACTCTAGTCCATGCAACACCTCCAGCTGACAAGGGTCAGTCTTTACACAGTACTTATGCAGTAGTAACCATTGCACAGCGATGTTGATGTAGCCCAAACCTGCAATGTATAAACCGAAACGCAAAAGAACCAGGGAGATCTGAAGAGTTCAGTTCGCAGTACTCACACGGTTACATGACATGGCGCTGCCACGACTATCTCTGGATGTTGAAAACATCAGCAATATTAAATAATGAAAAATAGAATGTCATCCCTGCATTCATTCCACATGACTCATGCTTAATTAGGAACAATCCCGAGTGAATATATTGATCACCATGATAATCCAGTCTTCCCGCGGGTTTCCATCTTTTCCCTTCCCTCCTACGATCGCAGGTCGCATCCACCAAGCTCCAATACGGTGCGTCCGCGATCGCAGGTCGCATCCACCAAGCTCCAATACGGTGCGTCCGCGATCGCAGGTCGCATCCACCAAGCTCCCATACGGTGCGTCCGCGATCGCTGGTCGCATCCATCAAGCTCCCATACAGTACGTCCGCGATCGCAGGTCGCGTCCACCAAGCTCCCTCTCACCTTTTTGGAACGCTCTTGTTGCATGCTGAAAAATCCCGGCTTGGTTTTAAAGCTGTTCCACAAGTAGTATAAAACTCTTTTCTGCTTTGCTTCCCTTTTGATTTTTTCCCGACGAGGAAATAGCGACTGCAGAAATGTTGAGGCAAGTCGTAAGCTGCATCATAGCTCTCCAAGGGCAGTAATGACCTTGTCTCCTTCGGTCTATGAAGGGCGAACGATTCGAACCGTTCCTGATCACGGTGAGTTGGTTGGGTACAAGGTTATTATCAGGCTCAATGGCGCTGCGTATAGAGACTGATGATTTTCTAAGATGAGCCAGGTAAATACTTCTTAATTTCGCTGTCACTTTCGCAATCCTGATCTCATGCCATTAATAAGATCGAGACTTTTTCATGAGCCAGCACCGAAACGCGTCATAATTGTGCTCATACACGCGCACTATGATTCGCCTACCTGATGGTTACCTGAAATATGGCCCACTTCACAACATTAATTCGTTCACATTTAAAAATTATTCGAGTTCCTTCTTCAGTGCATCAAAAATGTCTGGTTGAAGCAAATTTTTTACCAAGAAATGAATTCAGGCAATCTTCATTGCCTTCATTCAGTCGAAAAGGTGGGAAAGATGATGCCTCCGAATACATGGCTTTTCTATTGGTCAGCGTTATGTAAATGATACTTTTTGGCATAAAAAAGATTTAGGTAATAATGATTTACACAAAATAAAGGGGCCTTTTCGCTCATTGGAGTCTATTTCACAACGACCGTTGCTTAAAGGAGGTTTAAGCATCCGATACTCGGAGTTACGGAATCGATCCATACCAGTCCTCAAACACCAGCACCCAGTACTTAATAACTAGTACGGCGCCCAGTACTTACCCAGCACTACCCTGCTCACCGCGATGTCCACGTAGAACGAAGCTGCGAAGCGAAAGGCAGAACGAGGGAGATTTCCAAGGTTCTTCTTCTCTGAGAATGTTACGTGACATGGCACTGTTTAATGACATGGCACAGCCTTGCATTCTATTGAAGGCGCTTTCTGCACGATTCTACTTGAACCGGAGACGTTTTTTGAAATTGATATTTTTAACGTGGAATCAGTTGATCTTGGTTGGGCTCAGAAGCTACACCCATGAAATTCACATTTCGTGGTGCTTCTCATTTCAATTAAAAATAATTTGCTACATTTATTATAATTCGGTCACTTCTAGGAAGATTCGATTTGAGGGTGACCCAGGAAGCGAAATTTTCGATTTTTACGAGTTTTCCTCCACATCAGAATCTCAGATATATCAATAGTTACGTCCTTCTGGGTAGTGTCAGAACACGAGATACACCTGGTGCTTGCTGTGTGAGTCTCATGCTTGAGTCATGTTTATATATCTTGTTTAGGAAGGTAGGGTCAAACACATAGTTATGGCCATCCCCCTCCTATGGCCACTATATCAAGTTAGCTGCGTTTTTCTGCTACTGAAACAATTAGATTCAAAATGTGCACTCGGGTTCTCATCTTGGTTCCTTTCATTTCTTACCATATAAAATTCACATGTAGAAGTAGCTCTTCTTGGGGAAATAGATTTTTAAAAAGCTAATTGCTGCCACAATATTCCCATCTAAAGCAAAATCCTAGAAGTACAATTAATTTTGCCCTCAATGTTACATGGCCAATCTGATTTATTGTAGCCTTGGTCCTATATTGCGTCCTCTTGGTTCACATATGTCGATTTTTTTTAAAATTTGTATAAGAAATAAATGTGATGTATAGCCTTTACCTGGTTTATTTTAAGGTGGCCAT